GGCAGAAAACCACGTCGTGAAACTGAAACAGGAAATCAGTTTGCTCCAGGTAATTAAAGAAAGGACTTCAGTGTTTTCCCTTGATCTGTGGAGTCACATAGATAATGAATTCAAGCAGACGGAGATAAAAGACTCTGCTGGGGTTTCCCCTGGGCCCAAGCAGAGAAAGGACTTCAAATGGGGACAGCACCTGCTTCCTGTCGGGGCCTGAAGCAGAGGGAGGCCCTGGAGTTCTGTTGGGACTTTGGGGTCTGGCATGGGGCGTCCACTTGGGAGTCCCTGTTTCCATAGAGCTAGGTGCTAGGCATATACTGGAGTGAAGGGGAAGCCGTTAAGCCCCCATTCCCAGAGGCAAGCCCCCATTCCCAGAGGCGAGCCCCCAGTTAGGCCAGAGCACCCATCCTGAGTGCCAGGCCCCCACGGGTAAGTCCTCGCCTTGCTGGGTGGTGACTTTTATCTGGATTGCCTCGGAGCTGGTCTCTCCTTAGCCATAACCGCCCCCCCAGGCGCAGGTCTCCAACTTCCAGCGAGAGAATGAAGCCCTGCGGTGCGGCCAGGGCGCCAGCCTGACTGTGGTGAAGCAGAACGCCGACGTGGCCTTGCAGAACCTCCGGGTGGTCATGAACAGCGCACAGGCTTCTATTAAGTGAGTGCCTGGGAGGCACTGGGAAGCCTGGCAGGGAAAGGGGTGAGATTGGAGTGGTCGTCAGTGATACTGGGTGGGGGCCCAGGCTGACAGCACCGTGGCTGGAGGACCAGGGAGCCGCAGGGAGGGACGCGTGCTCAGTGGTCCCGATAGCTCTCTGGGTCACTTTGTGGACAGACCACAGGCTTTCTAACCTGCCTTGCAGTGTCCAGTCCCACCTGGGAGGTGCAGACAGCCCCACCACCTGTGGACACTAAAGCTCTGAATAAAGGAAATAGTGGTAGTTTCCCTCCTGGTGAAAAAGCAAATTCCCAGAAGGCCCTTACTACTGTGCCTGGCTGGGGACATGCCAGCCACCATCACTGACAGTGGTGAGTGTCTGCCGCCCACTGGGCTGAGCTCTGCAGGGCGGTTTTGGCCCCCCAGAGCACTCCCTGTGGACAAGGGAGCCGTCTCCTGTGAAGTCAGGTATGGGTCTCCTCGAAGAGGAGCTAGGAGTGGAAAACCTGTGGTTCTCCCCTGAGCCCCTCCCTTTCTCCCAGCAATCCTGTCCCTTTCTGCCCCACAAACCCCACCGCTTTCTCCCTGGAACCCCTCCCCTTTCTCCCCCAGAACCCTGTCCCTTTCTCCCTCCCGGCAAACCCCACCCCTTTCTCCCTGGAACCTCTTCCCTTTCTCCCCCACAGAACTCTGTCCCTTTCTCCCCCTGCAACCCTGTCCCTTTCTCCCCCACAGAACTCTGTCCCTTTCTCCCTGGAACTCCTCACCTTTCTCCCCCCAGAACCCCTCCCTGTTCTACCCTTCCCCTGTGGAACAAGGCCTTCCCCCACCATGGAAACCCTCCCCATTCTTCCCCCTGGAATCCCTCCCTTTCATTCCCCACCCTCCCCAGAATCCCTCCCCTCTCTTCCCCTTCAGAACCTCTCCCCTTTTTCCCCAGACCAACCCTTCCCCTTTCTCCCACCCACCACCCCCCCGTGGAAACCCTCCCCATTCTTCCCCCTGGAATCCCTCCCTTTCATTCCCCACCCTCCCCAGAATCCCTCCCCTCTCTTCCCCTTCAGAACCTCTCCCCTTTTTCCCCAGACCAACCCTTCCCCTTTCTCCCACCCACCACCCCCCCGTGGAAACCCTCCCCATTCTTCCCCCTGGAGACCCGCCCCTTCCTCCCACTCAGAACCTCTCCGCTTCCCCCACCCCTTGGAACCCCTCCCCGTTCTCCCCGACCTCCCGTGTGGAACCCCCCGTTTCTTCCCCTCCAGCCCCTCCCCTTTCTCCCCCCAGAGCCCCATTGCTGCCGAGTAGCTGCTGCCGCCCACCCTGGTATCCGTGCTTGCTTTCAGGCAACTGGTTTCCGGAGCTGAGACACTGAATCTCGTGGCTGAAATCCTTAAATCTATAGACAGAATTTCTGAAATTAAAGATGAGGAGGAAGACTCTTGAGGACCCCTGGGTGTTTTCAGCATGAAGCTCCGCGTATGCCCTGAGATCACCACCGCTTGATCTGAATGTGCAGTTGTGTCCTTAAATACGCAGTCTTCACCCAGAGTAAAGTGTTTATCGCAAGAGTCCAGTGTCGTGCCCTCAGCCAGTTCTTGGCCACCGCAATGGGAGTAGCCCTGGCCGAGCTGCCCCTGTGGTTTCTATGCAGCCCTTCGTGGCGAAATTCCTGCGGTGTTACAGATTCTGATGAGCTCTTGGAAGACACTGTCATGAAAGCCAGCGATTTTAAGAAAAAGCGGTTCTGGAATCAGTGTTTTCCAATCCCATCCCAGAACATCAGTTGTAAGATAAGTACAATTGATTGTCCTTGCTTTCGTAAGTAGAACAAACACTAAATGCGCCTCTGAGGTAGCCACCCTGGGCAGGGACCTGTGCCTTCCGCTGACACTCAGGGCTCCCTCTGGCTCCCAGGTCACTCTGGTGGGCCCCGCGGCTGGTCCCTGTGGTCATGGCCCGAGTGCGGAGGGGCCACTGCATGGCTGCTGCTGTCCTCCCCCAGGACCCACGGGGACCATGGCCACACATTCCGTGCTGTGAAGCTGTCCAGATGCGCCTCTTTGGCTGGGGGTTCTGGTGGATGTTTCAAGTAGCATTTTGTACAATGCAGTTTAGAATTCAGGAATTTCAAGTATGTGCAGAGCCCGCCCACCCGGGTGTGTGAGGTCCTAGCTGCCTTCCTGACGGCCTCCCGCAGAGGGAAGTGGACAAACACTAAATGCCTTTTTGACTTTTTTCCTATAGATTTTTTTTTTAAACTTTCTTTTTTCCTCCTGTTCCAATTGATAGCTTTTTTATTTAATAAATTCTGCAGTTCACCGCACTGTCTCTTCTCTGCTGACTTAGCTGGTCCTTGGAGAACGTCGTGGCCTTCCACGCCTCACTTGCTCTTGCCCTAACTGGTGCCTTGTGCTGGCAGGTTCTCGTCAGGTCCTCAGCCCTCAGGGTCAGGGGCAGACTCAGACCACTGCTGCCTGGGCCTGACCACAGGGACCCATACACGATGGACGTGTGAGTCATGCAGCTGCACATCTCAGAGCTGGACAGACCGGATTCTAGCGTTGGATCATCCTTGCAGATCACGTGGCTGAATTTTTCAAACAAAGTGTCTGAACCGCTAGACCCCTCGTCTTAGCTACAGGCGAAAGCCAGAGCTTTCCAGCAGCCACTGTGGAGGGCCCTGCTGCCTGGCCCCGCGCACCTGCCGCTTCTGCCGGTTGGTGAAAGCAGGCTCTGGATTCCGCTAGCAGAGCTGACTTGAGACAGCGTGCTGTGGTTGGAAAGTGCCGGAATGAGGTTCTGAGTGTGCAGGCAGCTCAGGGAGCCCTGTAGCAGCAGGATGGGGACATCCTGCGAGGATGCCTCAGGCCACAGACCTTCCCTGAGGCCCTTCGGGGGAGAGCGTTTTACGGGGTGGGAGTCACAAAGGCCAGATGGCCAGGCAGGTCCCATCCACCAGATGCATGTGAAGCAGGGTGGTCCCCGGCCCTCATGCCAGCGGCTCATGGAGCAGATGGGGCCCAGGGAAGCGCGGTGGGGATGGGCATGTGGGTTTTGCACACCCCTCTCTTTTGTTGTCTGTGTTTAAAGTGTTTGATAGAAGTTTAAAAATGCAATTTATGGGCCGGGCACGGTGGCTCACACCTGTAATCCCAGCACTTTGGGAGCCGAGGCGGGCGGATCACAAGGTCAGAAGATGGAGACCATCCTGGCTAACACAGTGAAACCTCGTCTCTACCAAAAACATAAAAAATTAGCCGGGCGTGGCAGCGGGCGCCTGTATGCCCGGCTACTCGGGAGGCTGAGGCAGGAGAATGGCGTGAACCCGGGAGGCGGAGCTTGCAGTGAGCCGAGATCGCGCCACTGTACTCCAGCCTGGGCAAAAGGGTGAGACTTCCGTCTCAAAAAAAAAAAAATACAACTTGCCTGCCTCTGCCTCTGGATTTCGAGCCCCGCTCAGGCAGGTCACCATGACACAAGGACTGAAACGAGGCGCTCAAGGAGCCCACAGCCGCCCGGTTCCATCCCCTCCATCTGTTTCTTGCCAATCTCTAGCTCCCAGCCTGGCCTCACGTGCGCCTAGCCCTTTGCCAGCAAAAGCCCACCTCCTGGGCAGACGGGGCAAACCCCCTTTATAGTTCTCCAGCTGGTGCCCCCAGCTCTCCCCAGGCTGGAGTGGAGGCCCCCTCAACTGGCTGGGCCCAGGATGTCTCTGCAGCACCTCTGGTGCTTACAAGCTCTCAGGAACCAGGAACTGTAGGCCCCTACCCAGTTCCCGGCTGAGTTAGCCCTGGCACGTTCCTGAAGGAATGAATACCCCCTTAAGGGAGGTCCCCGGGGCAGCTCTCCAGGCCAGGACACCCTAGAGGGCCCAGAGGGTGGGCACAGGTGACCAGGGAAGCGAGTTCTGCGTGGTGTGGGCCCCCACCCTCTGGCCTCAGTCTCCTGCACGTGCCTGGAGCTCGGCCTGGCCTGGGCGGTCCTGAGCACGCAGGGCAGGCTCGGGAAAAGCCCTTCACGTAGACTTTCTCATCCTCTGCTTAACCAAACCCCAAGATGTCCGTTAACAGAGGATGAAACAGGCACAGAGAGGTCCAGCGGTGGCCACCGAAGGTCACAGCCAGTGAGGGCCGGTCTTCCGGGTCGTGACCAGGTGGCCGGGTGCCTGTCCTCGCCTGTCCCCTGCCTTGGGGTCCCGCGTCCACCCGCGTCCCTCCAGAGCACGCGGAGGCGGCCCCCAGGGCGGCCACGCGAGGGCAGCATCGAGCCGTTCGCCCCACTAGTCCAGGCAGGGGCAGCGGCCGTCCCGGCGTGCCCCGCGCCTCAGGAGGCGGGACTTCCGGCGCGCGGCGCTCTTGTTCTGCAGCCGCCGGAAGCGTCGAGTCTGCTGTCGCCCGGGCGACGGCTGGGTCCGCGCGAGCAGGTAAGGTCTGCGCATAACAGGTAAGGCGCGGGTGGCGCTGGCATCTCCTGGGCTCTCCCCGGGGAGGGGGCGCTGTCCCGAGGAGCGGACATCCGAGGCCCGGGACGGGGGCGGGGCAGCGTCCAGAGTCGGGGAAACTGAGGCCCGGCGTGGCCCCGTTCCGGCTGAGCCTGGGCGCGCGAGGATTCCGGGCCTGGGAGCCCCTCGGCTGCGAGCGGGCTGCGGCCCCCGCGGGCTCCGAGGAGGCGTCGGCGGGGCGGTCCCGGCTGCAGGGTGCCCGCGTGCGTCTCGGGGACTGCGCCGTCGATTCTGCGGTGGCCGAGCCTCGGAGGGGGTTTCCCCAGGTCCCGCAGCTAGCAGGAGGCGGAACTGGGCCTGGGCCAGGTCTGTCTCCCAAGCCGGTGCCTAAACGCCCATCGCCCTGGCGCTTCCTGGGGTTCCCTGGGCCAAGCCGAGTCTGAGTGGCGTCCCCGCAGCTGAGGCGGGAGGGACCGCCTGCTGCGTTCCGTTTTGGTGGGCAGCCCTCATGACCAGCCCTTGGGAGAGGGGTGCGGGGAGAGGGACAGCCCCTGATGTCGGTGGCTTAGCACGTGTGACTTTGACCTCCTTCCTGCCGATCATTGCTCTCCTGAGCAACTCGGGGAGGGGAGGCAGCAGCCGCCTCTTGCGTGAGGCTTCCAGGGGAAAGCGTCTCCGCCGGCCCGGAGGCTCTGAACCGGCCTGCGGTCGCTGCCAGCTCTGCTTCTGGCCGGCTGTTAGCCGAGTTTACAGGTTCACAAGCATTTCGGGCATAAACAAGGGGCTTCGTAAAGGAGTGAGGGGACCTGGGCTGCTGATGTGGCTAAGGGTGCTGGCGGGTGGATGCTTTGGTTTTTGTTCCAGTTGGGCAGCGCCCCAGTCAGTGTCCAGCAGGGAGAGCCACGCCAAGGACAGGGGAGGGCGTTTCCCTTTGTTGTTGGGTGTTTTGGGCTCCCGGGTCTGTGCTAGTGATTCCTTTAGACTTTCTCTGCTGCTGCTTCATTCTCCTACTCTCTCTCTCTAGCGTCCTTCTTTCTTCAGACTTCCTAGACCACAGTTCCTAAGGAAAAAGCTTGACAAACATTTGTTCGGTCTCAGGCACTGCCACATTCCAGGGGCTGTTATGGATGCGCAGAGAACAGCCAGCCTTGCCTTTGGGTTGCCTTTGAGAGCTTCCTTCCATGGGGGAAGTGCCTGTCACCTGGGCAGTCTCAGTGTGTGTGTCTGAATTTTTCTCAGATGCCCTCTGTGGTCTGGCTCTGTGCCATGGGAGAGCAGGATGGCCAAAGCGGGTCACGGGCTGTGTCCTTGCCCTGTAGTGACTTTGCCTCTGCACCCCACTGTTTCTATATTGGGTGCCCAGTTTCCGCGTGGCTTGGTGTGGGAGCCGAGACAGGACAGTGGGGCCTGCCCTGTTCATCCACTCCCTGCCTGTGCTGGTTGCAGCCTCAGAGCAGGTGGGAGACGTTCTTGGGGCTTAGGCTCCTGGCAGACCACATAGCAGGAGTTCGTGGGGTCTGAGGTTGCCACTCCAGGGCTCCCTGATTCTGGGCCTGGTCTGTTAATCTTTCTCTGGGGAGCCCAGTGCCGGCTGCCGAGCAGACTCTGCCATCCCCTGTGGGCAGGTGTGTGAAGGAAAATGGGATCCCAGCACAGTCTTGGTTTCTAACATCTTGGGGTGTGTTTTGGAGGCAGGCAGAAGTCATGGATGTAGATGCTGAAAGAGAGAAGATAACACAGGAGATCAAGGAGCTGGAAAGGATTTTAGATCCCAGCTCCGCGGGCACCCACATGGAGGTCTCAGAATCAAGTCTCGAGTCAGATTCTGAAGCAGGTGAGCCCCTTGCACCTGGCCTCCTGGGGTCCTGGTGAGAACAGCTGGTCTGCTCCCTGGGTTCCTCTCAGGCACATTAGGGTGTGATGGTAGCTAGGTGTGGTCTCTCGGGCCTGTAACCCCAGGGACTCCGGAGGCTCAGGCGAGAGTATTGTTCGATCCCAGGAGTTCATGTCCAGCCTGGGCAACGCAGCAAGACCCTGCCTCTAAAAATAATAATAACAGTAATAAAACGATGGCTGGTACAGACCAGGCCCAATTTTTTGCCAACACTGGTGTTTGCCTGTACTCCAGCCAGAGAGCTTCTGACAGTTCCATGTTTGCTAGCCCCTGAGCCAGCTGGCTGTGTGTGTACCCTGGGCTCTAGACCTCCCAGGGTCTGGCCCTGGCCTCCTTGGGCCTGTGCAGGGCTTCTGGAGTGGACCATCCTGAGAGGAGAGGGCGAGCCTGGAGCTCACCCGATGGCAGCCTGGACAGTCCATGCCTGATGGTCACCACAGCTCACACCCCCAGCATCTCTGCTCCTCACATGCACCCCTCCCAGTGTGCTCCCCACCCCAATGTGCTCCCCACCCCACGTGCTCCCCTCCCCACGTGCTCCCCTCCCCATGTGCTCCCTACCACACGTGCTCCCCACTCCATGTGCTCCATGCCCCATAGCCTCCCCACCCTACAGCCTCCCCTCCCCACGTACTCCCTTCCCCACGTGCTCCCCTCCATGCTGCCTTTATCTTCTGAGCCTACCCCAACCCCACCAGCTGCTCCCTGACAGGATACCCCCCAGCCTTGTTTCCCACCTCTCCCAGACCTAGGGCCTGCCTCTGAGGCACCCTGCTGTCTTTCTCTGTGGTCGGGGCCTCTACGTCCGCGCCTTCCATCTGACTGGCGGAGCTCCCGAAGGACAGGTCCATTTTTTGCTAGGCTTTCTCCGTCTGTCTCTCCAGTGCGAGATAGCCTGTGCCGTCCAGTGAACGCTGTGTAGCTTTGTCCTGTGTGCCTGGAGTGCCCCAGTGTGTGGCCAGAGTCTTCTCTGTCTAGCTAACCCGGCATGGTCCATTGCCCACCCTGCTGTCAGAGAGGGAAGGTCCGCTCATTGCAAGCCTCAGCCTGAGGCGCTCTCGCCGCTTCACAGCCCCAGGCCCTCTCTCCTCTGCCCAAGAAGCAGTGGTGAGCTGCGCCCGCACGCCGACCCAGACGCTGGTCACCAACACTGTGTTGCTTGTGTTTCTGACAGAGTCACTGCCTTCTGAGGACTTGGACCCTGCCGATCCCCTGATCTCGGTAACTGCTGGCCTGATCTGGCTGTGCCACTGGGTCAGGCCTGCCAGCACCTTCCAAAGTGGCCTGGGAGGGGTGTGGTTTGAATCCATATTGGTTTTTCTGCATTATGAAAATGATGCGCGTTTGTTATTAAAAAAAAATCAGAAAGCGTTTGTCGTTGAAATTGTCCCCAGAAATAACCACTGTTAACAGCTTGGTGATCACACCCCTTGGCTTTTTTCTGAGCTCATGGCTGTATGCCTCCGTCTCCTGCATGGCATCTATCACTCATGGAAAGCTGTGAGCTGTGCACCTGGGTCCTGCCCCTCACAGCTCAACGCTCTGTGCCTCAGATTCCTGTGGGGCAGCAGGGACGTTTCCAGCACAAGTCAGCTAACATGAGCGGCTATACAAAAACTAGCTGGTGCAGTGGCACGTGGCTGTGGACCCAGCTACTTGGGTGGCTGAGGCGGGAGGATCACTGGAGCCCAGGAGGTCGAGGCTTCAGTGAGCTGTGATTGCACCACTGCCCTCCAGCCTGGGTGACGGAGTGAGACCCTCTCTCAAAAAACAGAAAAATACACGAGCACCTAAACAGCACGTGGCAGCCGCTCTGTGAGGCCAGTCGTTGTTTTGTTAGCTGCCTTTTGTTTACGTTGGAAAACGTTGGCGATTTGCTGCTTCCTTTTTCCACGGAGTTAGTAGGTACTGAGTCGCCTCACGTTAGCGTGGCCGTGTGGTCTGCCCTCTGTGGGTGAGCACCTGCCGTAGCCCGTGGGCGCCTCCCCGGGTCCCGACGGTCGTTTTCAGCGCGTCCACTTCCTGGCTCTGCGGAGACTTTCCTCCCACACACGCCTGCTCCCCGTGCTTCGCTGGCGATTCACACCACAGGGGCTCAGGGCAGAGTGCAGGGTTCACAAGGACATCTGTGGTCCTGGAAAGCTCCTGCCTCGCGGCAGCCCCAGCCCTGGTGCATTCCAGGCAGGAGGCTCCACCTGCCGTGGATTAGGAAAGGCGCACACGGGCCACCTGGAGAGCAGCAGGCTCCGCTCCCAAACTCAGACGCCCTCCTGCTGCCCACCAGGGTCGCTTCCTGCTGCCACACTGGGTGTTGCTATGCCGGAGCTGCCTCGGTGTCCCAGAGGCCCAGCGATGGGCGACTGGCTCCCGAGGACAGGGCAACATCCATGTCTCATCCCCTCACATGCCATTTCTTGCTCGTAACCAGGAAGAAGAAAGGTGGGGTGAAGCCAGCAATGACGAGGACGACCCCAAGGATAAAACTCTCCCTGAAGACCCGGAGACCTGCCTGCAGCTGAACATGGTCTACCAGGAGGTCATCCAAGAGAAGCTGGCTGAGGCCAACCTGTTGCTGGCCCAGAACCGGGAGCAGCAGGTGGGACGGGCCTCGGCCCCCAGTGTCCACGCCTCCCCACCCCCAGAGCCCCCCACAGCTGGACCTCCCAGGTCCAGGGCTCCCCAGCTTCCTGCCTCTCCTCTGCCCTGGGTCCCCTCCACAGGGAGAGTCGCTACTGCTGGTCCACAGAGGGGTCCCTGCCTTGTGTCTGTCACAGGAGGAGCTCATGAGGGATCTGGCTGGGTCCAAAGGCACCAAGGTGAAGGATGGCAGGAGCCTGCCCCCAAGCACATACATGGGGCACTTCATGAAGCCGTATTTCAAGGACAAGGTCACGGGTGTGGTGAGTGGCCCAGGCCCTGCTCTTGTCGGCAAGGCTCTGTGCACCGTGGGAAGGGCCCTTGTCCCCAAGTCCTGCTGCGGGAAGTCGTGAATTCCCATGAGTTCAAGATAACATTGGCCACCCTCCTTTAAACTGCCTCCTCCGTGGTGGGCAGGCTGCCCTCTGCTCTGTGCTGGGCTGCCCGGACTGCCCTGTGAAGCGATGAGCAAGCCCTCATGGAGGTGCCAGTGTTGCCTGTGCGAGGCCTGACCGCAGCAGGCCTCATGGATTGGCCGGTAGGGTTGCACCCGCCAGCCTCACAGTACGGGAAGGCAGGAGGCAGGGGGCCCAAGTCCTTTTGTGGGCTCTGGATGGATGTGCTGGGCCTGCAGGGAGCACACGTGGTCTGTGCCTGTGGTGATGCTGTGCACCCTGACAGGGGCCCCCTGCCAACGAGGACACACGAGAGAAGGCTGCCCAGGGGATCAAGGCTTTCGAGGAGCTCCTCGTGACCAAATGTAAGAGCCGCAGCTGGCCATGCGGCACCGCTGAACTCGGGGGACCCCTCCCCACGGCCCTGCTTTCCCCAGTTTCTTAAGTTCTCAGACCTTTCTCTGTTGTGACCTCATGGCTCCTTCAGGCCTTGACCACTGGGACTGGCTCCTTGACCCCTGCCTTTTCACATTGAGCAGGTCCTTTCCAGAACGCCAGTCATGCGGGATGGGCCAGGCCACACCCTACCCTCTTACTCAGTCTCCCTGCCTTGTCTTGGGCCGTAAAGCCCTGGCAGCTCTGCCCGTGAGCTGGCGCCAAGCCTCGGGTGGAGCTGTGTCGGCTGGGTGGAGGGGTCTCACCTGTGGGCCTGGTGTGCTGCTTACTCGCTGTGGGGCCCCCATCACTGCCTGGGGAAAGTGTACACCGACCACGGGAGTGGGCCGTGGAGAGGATCCAGACCCTCAGTGATGGCACTGTGGCTTCTCCTCAGGGAAAAACTGGGAAAAGGCCTTGCTCCGAAAGTCAGTGGTGAGTGACCGCCTGCAGCGATTGCTTCAGCCCAAGTTACTGAAGTAAGTCTAAAAACGAAGGTCAAAAATGGCCTTCAGGCTGGGTGCAGGGTTCATGCCTGGAATCCTAGCACTTTGGGAGGCCAAGGCAGGAGGATCTCTTGAGCCCTGGAGTTCAAGCCCAGCCTGGGCAACATGATGAGACCCCATCTCTTCAAAAAGTAAAAAAAGTTAGCCGGGTGTGGTGGTGCACGCCTGTGGTCCCAGCTACTCGGGAGGCTGAGGTGGGAGGATCGACTGAGCCCAGGAGGTCAAGGCTGCAGTGAGCTGTGATTGTACCACTGCGTTCCAGCCTGGGCAACAGAGCCAGACCCTGTCTCAAAAACAAACAACCTTTCCCAGCCAACAGGAAAAATCAAGGCTGGCTGATGTGGGCTTGGCAGAGGTTCAGCTTAGCTGCGAGCCTGTTCTCCACAGCAGGTCCTGCCAACCCACGGAGAGGTGCTGATGCCTGGACTTGATGCCCTGAAGGGGGGCTTCCTCATGGCTAGGCGGCTAAGCACAGGATCAGTCCACACGGCCACATTGAGGGGTGTGGCTCGGGGCGCGGGGTGGTCACCACGGCCATGATGAGGGGTGTGGCTCGGGCAGCTTCTCTTCTCTGGGTCTGTCTTTCCCTGTGCCTGAAACCTGGTGTTTGCTGATGGGGTGATATCATGTGACCGAAGCAAGGCACAGCACGGCCTTACTGTCCACACACGATAGAAGGCGCTACTGTCCTGATAACTTTGGTCAAAGACAGAGCTGCTCCCAGAGCCCAGAGACCCAGCAGCACCTTGTTGGCCACTCCGTCAGCAGCACAGCGGGTCCCCACCTGTCTTCTGTGCGGCCACCATGAGCTCTCAAGGCAGAGGTGGTGCCTTTAGGATACAAGCTGCCAGGACATCTCTGGGCACTGAGAGGCTTTTGGCCAGGCCAGGGGTCCTGGGGCCTGCCTGCCAGCCGTGGCCTGATGTGTATGGTCAGGGTTTGCAGTGACGACGGTGGGTCTCTCCTCAGGCTTGGGGAGAGCTGGGTTTTCCTCCCTGGCCTGCTTGGGGGAGTGGTTCTTTACTGTGACTTCACAGCCTCCGGCATCCTCACTGGGCACCAGTCAGGACATCTACCCATGGCTGTGTCTCTGTGCCAGGCACAGGCTGGGAGCTGGGGCACTGAGGTTCTGGAGGGCTGTGGCGAGGCTCTGAGACATGGTGGCCAGCAGGCAGGCACAGGCTGGGAGCTGGGGCACTGAGGCTCCGGAGGGCTGTGCCAAGGCTCTTAGACATGGGGGCCAGCAGGCAGGCATAGGCTGGGAGCTGGGGCACTGAGGCTCCGGAGGGCTGTGGCGAGGCTCTGAGACATGGGGGCCAGCAGGCACTGTAGCCCTTCCCACCCCAGTGGCAGCCTGGAGGTGGGTGCTACAGCATCTTTCATGGGTGAGGAGGCTGAGGCAGGGAGGGTGAGGGAGGCTCGGAATCTCTGCTGAGGTCACACTCTTTGCTCTATACTGCATAGAGAACCCGTCCCCCACCAGCAGCCCTTGTGCCTGCAGCCCTTCTGCCTCTGCTCTGCTTTGCAGGCTTGAGTACTTGCACCAGAAGCAGAGCAAAGTCTCCAATGAGATGGAGAAGCAGGCCCTGGAGAAGCAGGCCCGGGAAGCCGAGAAGGAGATCCAGGACATCAAGTGAGGAGGCCTCCCGGGAGGGCCCAGGGGAGCCCACAGGCCAGGCGTGGCGCCAATACCCTCATCCCTTCCTCCAGCCAGCTTCCGGAAGAGGCCTTGCTGGGAAACAGGCTGGACAGCCACGACTGGGAGAAGATTTCCAATATTAACGTAAGTTGGGGGCAGGTCTGAGCCCCAAGCAGCTCGCAGCGCAGCTCCCTGTAGCCCGGGTGCGGTTGGAATTGGGTGGTAAGGCCACACCCTCCCTGGCACAGGTTCCGCTGTGACCCCTGCCCACCCGGGTCAGGCACATGTCCGGCAGTTGGTAGTGGTGAGTGGCCTCAGGGCTTTCCTGCTGGTGCATGGCCCCCTTTCTGAAACAGTCTGGAAGGCTCCCGGCGTTGCCTTTGGAGCCAAGTCTACGTATTTGGCCGTGCCAGGCCTAGTGAGTTGGACGAAGATTCCGCTTACTTGCAGCCATGGAAGCCTCCAGCTGGCAGAGAGCAACAGCTCAGCCTGGAGCTGCATCTAGGGCGCCCTGGGGTCAGTGGCCTGCAAGGCTGAGTGTCTCTGTCCGTGCAGTTTGAAGGCAGCCGCAGCGCAGAGGAGATCCGGAAGTTCTGGCAGAACTCGGAGCACCCCAGCATCAACAAGCAGGAGTGGAGCGGGGAGGAGGTGGAACAGCTGCAGGCGATCGCGGCTGCACACGGCCACTTGGAGTGGCAGAAGATTGCAGAGGAGCTGGGGGTAAGGACCTGGCCTGGACTCCAGGGGCCAGGAGACCTGAGGGCCTGTGGGCCCTATAGCGGGAGGTGGCTGGACAGGTGCGGAGTCCTCAGTCCTCACTCGCCACCAGGTTTCTGTGTGTTGCCACCTCCAGGCTGTGGCCTTGGGGAAGGAGCCTACCCAGCCCTCCCTGCCACTAGGCCGTTGCCGCAGCTCCCCTGGGCCTTCCTAGTCCTCCAGGTTTCCCCATACAGCGGTGCGTGCCCAGCGTACCGGAGTCTGTCTCCTTCCTTATTTCCTGTCTTCCTCTGTCTCCATCAGCCTCGGGAGTTTATTCTGTTGATGGTTCTAAGGGATGCTTTTTCCTAGTGTGAGTTCTTGCCGCTTTTCTGGTTTCCTGAGTGAGGGCTCAGTTCTTCACTGACTTGGGTCTCTTGTCTTGATAACGAGGCTTGTTAGGCCACACTCTTCTGGGAACAGCTTGGTGTGAACTCTTCTTTTCATAGATTTCCAGAGTAGCTCTAGTTTCCATTTCTATTGCCTCTTTGGACCTAGGTTTATCTAGGAATGTATGTTTCCATTTTTAAATAGTTGGGTTCCTGGGAGTTCTTGTGGTGGTTCTTTATCTGAATTTGATTGGAACATGAACTAGGGGCAAGATGTGTAAAATCTCCGTCTTTCAAATATGTTACTTTTTTTATGGCAGAGCACCTGATTATAGTAAACCAAGCTAAACTTGCCAAAACTGTTTTTAAGAAAAACGAGTATTCTCTGTAAGTAGGGCCTAATCTATATCAGCTATTAAATTGAGTTTGCCTTTAAAGATGTTTAATTCTGCCGGACGCAGTGGCTCACCCCTGTAATCTCAGCACCTTGAGAGGCCGAGGCCGGTGGATCACCTGAGGTCTGGAATTTGAGACCAGTCTGACCAACATGAAGAAACCCCGTCTCTATTAAAAATACAAAATTAGCTGGGTGTGGTGGTGCATGCCTGTAGTCCCAGCTACTCGGGAGGCTGAGGCAGGAGAATCGTTTGAACCCAGGAGGGGGAGGTTGCAGTGAACTGACATAACGCCACTGCACTCCAGCCTGGCGACAGAGCGAGACTCCATCTCAAAAAAAAAAAAAGTTTAATTCTGAAAAGTTACGTTGATGTCACTTGACTATGTCCTGACATAATAATATTAAAAATTAGTTTTTCGGCCGGGCGTGGTGACTTACGCCTATAATCCCAGCACTTTGGGAGGCCGAAGCAGGCGGACCATGAGGGCAGGAGATTGAGACCATCCCGGCTAACACAGTGAAACCGCATCTCTACTAAAAATATAAAAAATTAGCCGGGTATGATGGCAGGCGCCTGTAGTCCCAGTTACTCAGGAGGCTGAGGCAGGAGAATGGCGTGAACCCTGGAGGCGGAGCTTGCAGTGAGCGGAGATCGCGCCACTCACTCCAGCCTGGGCGACAGGGCGAGACTTGTCTCATGAATAAATAAATAAGTATATATATAATTGTCAGGTTTTCTTTTATACATATTTTACTGCTACATAGTTCGGTACACACAACTTTTTTTTAATCGGGGTCTATTTTTTTTGTTTTTTATATTAAGTTCAGGGGTGCGCGTGCAGGAAGTGAGGTTCGTTTCGTAGGTGAATGTGTGCCATGGTGGTTTGCTGCACAGAGCAGTCCATCACCCAGGGGTTCAGCCCAGCATGCATTAGCTCATTAGCTTTTTTTCTTTCTTGCTTGCTTTTTTTTTTTTTTTTTTTGAGATGGAGTCTGTCTCGGTTGCCCAGGCTGGAGTCAGTGACGCGATCTCAGCTCACTGCAACCTCTGCCTCCCGGGTTCAAGTGATTCTCCCGCCTCAGCCTCCCCAGTAACTGGGACTACAGGCACCCACCACCATACCTGACTGATTTTTGTATTTTTAGTAGAGATGGGGTTTCACTGTATTGGCCAGGCCGGTCTCGAACTCCTGACCTCGTGATCCACCCGCCTAGGCCTCCCAAAATGTGGGATTACAGGCATGAACCAATGAATGCCTGGCCGCATTAGCTCTTTTCCATGATGCTCTCCTCCGCCCCTACCCCCCACCCCCCACTCTCCACACATATAACTTTTTATGTAATTAATAGAGACCTGGTCTTGCCATGTTGCCCAGGCTGGTCTCGAACTCCTGGCCTCAAACACTCCTTCTGCCTCATCCCAAAGTGTTAGGATCACAGGTGTGAGCCACTGTGCCCAGCCCGCATAACTTTATGATGACTGTTTTTCGTTGGTTTTTTTTTTGAGACAGAGTCCAGCTCTGTCGCCCAGGCTGGACTGCAGTGCCACGATCTTGGCTCCCTGCAGCCTCTTCCTCCCTGGTTCAAGCAGTTCTCCTGCCTCAGCCTCCTGAGTAGCTGGGATTACAGGCGCCTGCCACCATACTCAGCTAATTTTTGTATTTTTAATAGAAGCGGGTTTTCACCATGTTG